AGGTAAATAAAGCTTAGAAAAAAAGGAAGAAGCAGTTATACTCAGAAAATGGCTATGAGCTGTAAGTTAAATCACACGTTTTTTTGAAACAATTAGACTTCCCCTTCACAGAGCAAAGAGGATGGAGACTCCTTTAAATAACACATCTGGTAACAGAGAAGGCTGCTGTTTATTCTGCTGCTGATCAACTGATCTGAACAGATCAACTGGTTTGAAAACTAAACTGTTTTTTGTTTTAATGAAGAAATTCTGGTGAGTTCACATTTTTGACTGATCATTTAACCAAATATTTCAACAGACTTTTCATATTTAATTCAAATATTTACAGCACATTGAAAGCTGCTTGCTACGAGCTGAAGGTCTAATTTCAGATCCACTGTAATAAATCAGTTAAATGTTTGGTTTCCAGAGTCTGAATCTAATGGCAGCTCTGTCTGAGAACCTGCTGACAGTCAACATGTTACTGAGTGTCTTCTTTCTTCTAGGTGAGCTGATTGTTCACTTAATTTCATTTAAATGTATCTTTTTTTGTCTGAAACATTAGATCCTGATGTTTTTTAAAGGCTCCACATTTTACAAACTGCAGCTGAACTGGAGTTTATGGATCATGAAGATTCTAAGCAGGCAGATTTTGCTCCACATCATGTTCATCATTTTTCTGTTTTTACAGCTACTTTGGCTGATTGTGGTGATACAAAACCAGCCCTCAGAATCACTACACCAAAGAAGATTGAAGCTCTAAACGGATCTTGTTTGGAAATCCCATGTATCTATGATACAGAGGATACCAGATATGACAGCAGCAGAACTATCTATGGAGTTTGGATGAAAGGTGCTCACAATTTTGGTGATGATCCAAAGATTGTTATTTTCCGCAGCAGTGGGTCAGTTAACACCTATTCACTGAATATTACTGGAAACCTGAGAGAGAAAAACTGCACCACTCTGTTTCCTGACGTAAAGACCAATTATACAGACAGATACTTCTTCAGGATTGAGAGCGAGCCGTTCAAAGCATCAGCTTCTGATGATCCTCAATATAACAGTTAAAGGTAAGAGAATTTCAATATTATCAGTCTATGACATTAATGTTCAGAAAACTCACACTGGTTTAACAGACATTAACAGAAAACACACTTATATGTGATGTAGTGTTTAATCAAACCTCATGAATTTAGTCCAGTCTCTTTTTTCTGCTTAAAATTATTTTTGTTTCTGGTTTTCTTCTGTTTATCTTGCTGCAGCTGGAAAGTCGATAAATATTTTCAATTTTCTTCTGTGTCTAAAAAAAGATGATATATAAACAGCTTAACTTACTAACAGTCCACTGTTAAAGACATTTGTTTTCCTGATTTGGATTCCCAGATTCTCCTTGGAGTCCCAGCATTAATATCTCTGTTGGTGATCTGAAGGAGCATCAGTCTGTCACTATAAGCTGCTCAGCTGTGACTCCCTGTCCACACTCACCTCCTGAACTCACCTGGAATCTCCAACAAGACTCTGAGAGACAAACAGAGAAAAACCCAGATGGAACCTTTACAACTAAAATCCAGGAGACCATCACTCTGTCAGACACACATGATGGATACATCAGCTGTTCTGCCAGATATC